AACAAAATGTGCAAAATTCACGTTTTTTTTTACCTTTGTGAATTTATATTCATAAAAGAAATCTAAAGAAGTCTCGCCATCCAGAATTGACATGTTGTTAGAAAAAAACTTCAGCCCAATCAAAGGTGGCTTAATTTTACTGTATTTTTTTTTTTGTACCAGTGACCTCTAGAAAATGATCTTGACCTTTAACCTCCGAATTATTTTACCTCTGAGGGTTGAAGAGGAGGTAAAAATATTTTTTTTGGTTCTACCCGCATTTCTGTATCTCAAATAGAAATAGGAAAGGTTTTTGACTTTTCCAAGTTTTCTCTGCGTGAAAATCCATCAAATTATGTGAACTTTTCACCCGATTTTTTATGTTAAGAAGTCCACGACCTCTTTCCAACCGACCTTGGCTCGAAAGGTGTCTTGGAATAAATTTGCATTTTCCTTACACGGTTTCCATTTCACTTAAGAAAAATATGTGACACTGTTCGCTGGAGTTTGTTAGTCAAATCTCAAAACGTTTCACTCGGAAAGGGCATCGTCATCACTGGCGGGTGCCATAACGCGCTGCTGAAGGGAGCACTATATTTGCAAAGTCTCCGCAGGCAACTTGAGAAGGAAGGTTTGTTCATTTCCTCGCTTTGAGAATCGGACAACGTTTGCGCCAAGCAATCAAGAAAGTCGCTTTGAAGTTGCGGTCGTGCGTCTCTCTATCTCGAGACGAGAGAAAGCAAATTAATGCCCGAGTTCATTAGCCCGCGCGGATCGAATAAACAATTTAAAAAAAGCAACCCCCGTGCGAGCAGAATGAGCCACACCTGCTTTCAATTCGCAAACAAGCAAGGCGGTCGAACGAAAAACCCCAGGAGAGCTCGCGAAAGAGGCGCTTTCATCAAACCGGGCGGGCGCATTAATTGGCTGCATCAGCAAAGCCAAACAACGGCCCGTGCATGAATAATAGAGCGCGCGAGTTGCTTGATGCGACTTTTAGCGGCACTTGTAACACTCTCGGGTGATAAGGAGGCTTCCTTTTTGCTGCACACGCGCTTGTTTATTCATTATTATATTCCGCGCATGACATAATTTCCAAATAGAAAAGAAGATGCCACCCGCATCTTTACTTACTTTGATAGTGTCGCGCGGCGCGAATAAGTTGTGAGCGAAACTCGTTAGGTTGTTGTTTGCCCAAGTGATTACTCGCCTAGCTGCTTGTATTTGAGTAGGGAATGAACAACAACATGATTATGCCTGGCCCGTGAAACAGAAACATGCAGGCAGCCTCGCGAGCAGAGAGCAGCTCTGAAGAGGACCATTAGCCGCTCGTAGAGATATATCGAGTCTCAAAAGTGGTGTCTTGGATTCAATTGCGACATGTCTGGTCTGGCGATTGGAAATGAAAATGTTTTGCTTTGATAGTTGGTCAGACTTGAAAGACAAACAGAAGAATTGGTATAAAAATTTGTGGAAAAAAATATTCAATAATGATTTTGAAGAATAGTTGAGGAATTTTAATAACAGTTTAATTTGGAATTCAAAAGTTATAAATGATGTTTATGTTCAATTGCATTGCTTTTTTTAATGTAACGGAGGAAAATTTTGTAGGAATTACATCTGTTCCTACTTTGATATGATTTTACTTGCATTTGGAACGATAAAAATAAAAATAAAATTATTTAATAAATATACAAATTACAATTTATTGTTCATTAATTTACAATTTGATTCATTTTTAAAATAAAAATATATTTAAAATAATATTATAGTATTATTTTATATTACCGAATTATTCAAATAATATAGTAATTTAATAAATAAAATAATTATTTAAAATAGAAGCGATGCAGACCAAAATTCTCAACTTTTTCTTATTTAAATTTTAACTTTTACCATTTCCAATCAATTATGAGAGCATTCAAAGTTGACAAAGTCTGTAAATTACTCTGCAAATAATCGTCCGTCACAAATGGCCGTTTAATTGAGCGCATCAATCAGACTTGGAATCATTTATTCTCTTCCGAGGCGCGCAATTAGCATACATTATTCAAATCTAGATCGAGCAGCGCGATTCAAGGGTCGACGCAAAAGGAGCGGCGGAGAATTCAGCGATTCCATGACCCAATTGACACTCTTAAGTTTGCTTCCTTCGAAAATCACCTTCGGCGCCGTCAGTTCTCAACGCAAAATTAGAGAGAGAGAAGAGGGAAAAACAGCTAAATAATATTGCCGTCATAAATGGACGCGCAAAATTCTCGCGGATCGTAAAAGAGCGCACGATAGCCGCGCGGGCTGCATAACCCGCCAAAGTTCACGACGTAAAAATAATAATAACTCGGCCATGGGCCTCGCTCGCCAATCGATTTCAAGTACGGGTCAAGAAATCAGCCGACGAGAGTAAAAAAAACCTCAAGTACTGCGCAAGGCTGAATGATAAATTAAAAAAGAAAAATTAATTTGATCTTCACAGAAATTTAAATTTTCATCAAAACTGGACAAATTGTGAGTAAAAATTTAGTTCCATTTTCGAAACAAGCAAAGTTTTCGTTTCAAAACGTTGCTCATTGTGAGAGGAGTCGGTTTGTTTGGATGCTGCAAAGCTGCACTGAATAAACCCAGGTGTTCGCATCCATAGAGTGACCGATTGAATGTGCGGGAGGGGTGACTGTGCAGCATGTCATCGAGAATGAAATTATTACACAGAGCAGACGCCGATGCGAGCGAGCGTCGGACGAATTTAAAGCGGGGGCCCCAAATTACAGCTAATAAAGTTGCCCGTTTGTAAATCATGCGACGCTCGCCTCGATTGTTTTTGCTTTTGGAAGCGGACAAAGCCAACGCCGCGCGCTCCATTAAGCAATTACGCATTCGGCAAAAATTGCTTGTTTTGCCCTTGGTGCGTGATTTATTCTTGAAATAATTAATTATCTCGAGCAAGTTTCTATGTGACTTGTCAGTTCCCGATTTGAATAAACGAAATAAATTATTCGATAACAAAACCGACGTGAAAAATAAGAAATGCTCATGGTTGAAAAAATAACAGAAGTGTGTTTTTGTTGACAACTTCATGAACTTTACTTCCGTGTTTGTTGATAATTTCATTTAAATTAATTCAGTGTTTGTTGAGAAATTCGTGGAATTTAGTTATATTTTTATATTTAATCCGAATTAAGCAAATAAAAACTTTTTAATTCAACTCCTATTAGAATGAAATTTATTAAAAAGTTACAGAATTTTATAGTAATTTTAAAAAAAAAATGCAAAATTTACAAATAAAACTCAATTTTACTCATTCAATGCTGGACAAAAACTCCACCCAACAAAGAAATTTGTCGTGAAATTCGCAAAGTCTGTTATCTGACGTAAGTGGAGCGCCAACTTCCGCCAAGATGACTCACTCTCGAGTTGCCCCGCGAGTGAGATTTTGCCTGATTCGATTCCGCGGGGCTGCAGATGAAAATTTTCACCTGCACGCGCCTTTCCCATGTTATATATTTTTCCGGTCGATACGAACGCGTCCCGGCCGCAATTGTGGGCGAATCCATCGGGCTGCGAGAGCAAAGCCCTGATCGGCCATGCCGTTGTGGCGTGACGTCAACTGCACATTTGCCGAATTCGCAAATATTATAATCGCACCGACTTTGGTGATCAATAGGTGCAGCCAGAAATCTCAAATGCTTCAGAAAAAACAATAGCTCAGAAAATGCAGAAAAAATGTTAGGAAACTTTGGAGAACGTTTTGTTGTTGCTTAATTAAATTTAAAAAAAAAAATTATAAAAAAAATAAACCGGTTTATATATTTAAGGAAGATTTTGTGTTAAAAAGATATCAAACTTTAAGTTTCCTAAAAAATTGTAAAATCCAGGTGGGCCAACAAAATTTCTTTAGAACTATTAAAAAGAACCTAACTTTTTTTATTTAATTTTTTTAATATTGCAACTATAATTTTAATATTATGAAAATCAATACTTTTTTGACATGATTTTTTTAAATGGACGGACCTATCTTTTTCTTGTTCATTTTGGTTCGTTTACGCAGTGATTTGGCTGAAAATATGAAAATCGCGGTGACCGCACAAAGCTTTTGCCTTCTGTCTGCAAAACCACGACTGCTCAATCCGAAAAATTCTACCGGCGTTCGAGACCACCAAATCGCACCAAACCGCAAATTGGCGAATCGGAGCAACGAGAGACGAAATTAAACTCCGCCGTTTTCCGAATAAATTAAAATCTCCTCGGGGTTTTTCCCATCTGCACCGTTTCATTTAAAAATTTCCACCAGAGCTGTTAAAAAATTCCAACCGAGGGTGCCCGATATAAATATTTACCTTCCGGCTGGAGAGAAGGAGTTAAAAAACTAACTAACCTGCGCATGCAAACAAGTAAACAAAACACGGAATTATGTTTGTCGCTGCGAAGGGAAAATCCATTTTTTTTTTTTAACAAATCGATTCGGCCCTTTGAGGATGGAGAAAAAAACAGAAGGCGCGTTATTATTTCGTGTATTTCGCTCCCAGCGGAGTTTCGGCGAAGAAAAAATGTTCCGGTTTTGTGCTGCGCTCGAGATTAAATATTTGATGGAGCCGCCCTTGAAACGTAAAAATACACTTACACACCCGACGACGACGGCCGAATCCGCTCTTTCCGACTCTCTCTCTCTCTGTAGCACACAAACCCACCCCTTGTTTTGCAGAGCCACCCCATGGAGGTGCGGAGGCGCTGTTGCGGGTGGATCAATAATCCAAGACCCTCCTCACCCCGGCCAGCGCGGCGGGCGGCTTTTCCCACTTCTTGGCGCCTCGCGAGGCGCCCACCTCGTTTGGGCTCCCGTGGGTGGGGCCCCCCGGCCCGCACCTCCGAAGGGCCCCCCGTGCGATCAAAGGGCCCGCGGGGGCGCGAGATCGGACGGAAACGTCGTGAAAGACGAGTGCCGAGTTCGATCTCTTCACGTCTCGGTTTTCGGGTGAAGGTTCACTGAAAAAATGGGGCAACTGGGCCCGGTTGGGTCTTCCGCTCACCTTGATGGTTAATCCGAGTTGACGGCCCTTTGAGGAAAGGGGCCCTTGTCCTCGAAAGACGTGCTTCTGGTCCTGTGACAGCTCCTTGCTTCTAGCTCCTTTCTTTCTCGCTTGCTCGAGTTGAAAGCCCGTAAAAAAAGTGGGCAAGAACGATCGGTTTGGCGTATCGATTGAAACGCCGCCCAAAACCGGTTTTTAGTTTGGTGAAAAACTACCGAAGGAAATTTTACGTTGGTTGAATGGGAGGTGAAAAATGAAAACAACCGGTTGTTTACAAATTTTAATGAAATACCGGTAGGTGTTTTCCAAAATCCGATATCACCGAGTTTCTTGCTTTTGCCCACTTCACTCCTGCTTGCTGCTGCACCCCGCGGTGGTTCTTCCGCCAATTTAGATGGCAGCACCGTTGAGAGAAGGTGACTTAAGCGCCGAGGACGCCCCTGCCGGCAGAAATTCGCACCCGGGGTAGCCAACGACGACCATCATAACAAGAGGAAACGCCTTTCTTTCGCAGCCGTTCTCCGTATTTTGGCCGAATTCGGCTGCGATTTCTCGCGCAAGAGAGCGAACGGTCGGTTGCAGAGTGATCGGACGCCCGGTTGCGTCGCGTCGAGCGAGATTCGCCGTCCGACACGCAGGTAGCAGTGCCTTCTGGAAGGCGGCGCGGGGTCGACCTTGTTTTCGGCCTCCGTGTCCGAACCGCGATTCGTGTATGTGTTATAATCGTCAGTGTCTGATTGCAGTGCTCGATGAGCTGCTAAACTGGGTTCGGCCGAGGAGATGAGCAACTCGGCGCGGGCCGAGGGGCTGCGCCGGGCGTTCACCCTGCCGAGGGGCGCCCGCAAGCTGTTCCGCCGCCCCTCGATCCGCCGCCTCTTCACCAGGGTGGTGCAGCACGTCAACGGCTTCAAGGCGCCGCTCAACAAGGAGCGCATCGTGTACGCGCCGCCGCCCAAGGACCGCGTCCCGGGGGTCACCGGCCTCCGCAACCAGGGCAACACGTGCTTCATCAACGCCGTGCTGCAGTGCCTCAGCCACACCGACCTGCTGGCCGAGTACCTCGTGCTCGGCAACTACAAGGCGGACCTCCGCAAGTCCAAGGGCGAACTGACAGAGCAGCTGGCCGCCCTGCTCAGGGCCGTCTGGTCGGGACAGTACGCGCCCGAGCTGTCGAGCAGCTTCAAGACTGCGGTGGACAAGTACGGCAGCCAGTACCGCGGCGCCAACCAGCACGACGCCCAGGAATTCCTGCTCTGGCTGCTGGACAAGGTGCACGAGGACCTCAACACGGCCACCAAGAAGAAGTACAAGGCCATCAAGGTCAGTCCCAGACGGAGACAAAAATTATTCATAAAAAAGTGACAACAAGAAGTTTTTTTAAGTTTGCTAAAAAAATATCCATGTAGTTTAAATTATTTTATTTATATTTAAATTAAAGACTTTATTTTTTTTTTTTTTTTTTTTGATGCAGTGACACATATAAAGTACGAGCCGAGATTGAGGGTTTCTTTCATCTCAAGCGTTTATCTCATCTTTCAAGGCTGTCCTGCCCCCGAGCAAATAGGCGGACAGGGTCAATAATTAGCATTCCTCTCGGTCGCTCGTCAGCTGCTTTCAATTTGCACGGCTGGCAATAAGAAGATCAAATAATTAGTCGCTGCAGAGATGCTGCTGTCGGTAGTTTTGCTCTCGGGTAGGAAAGGGTTAACTGGGTTATGCATTTGCAGCACCACTTGCGATTGAAGAATTTCGCCGCGTGCAATATTTGTGATTTCACTTATGCATTCGTCATCGACTTATGCAAAAAAGAATGCACTCGTCGGCTTTCATCGAAGTAAAGGTTATTTCCATCATTGTTTGGTGCAGAATTATTACAACATTAGAGCTTTGGTTTTATAACAGTTTAAGTTGATGGATTATTTAATAAAATATACTTATTTACTCCGATCCTCTTTGCATATAAAGTCGCACAGATTTCCATCAAAAATTAATAATGGTCCTTTAGTAATTAATTTACTGTAAAACAAAAGTTTTATAAATTGGCCAAAATATTGGTTTATTTTAACATCTGCTACTCTTGTTAACTTTAAAGAGGATTGAACCACCTCAGGGATCTACAAAAACTGATATTTTGGGATATAAGAATCATTTGATAACCAGAAAAGTGGGGGTCACTGCATAAATTTTTGAGAAAATTTAAATTGAAGGTTTGAAAACGTTTTTTTTTTCATTTTACTTTTAGCGGAGAAAATTAAGTTAATTTTTTAGCCCTTGGAATCAATTTATTTCTTCAAACAAATTTCAAATTAATTCATATTTTGGTTCTATTGAAACATCTTTGTATTTATCAAATTCCAATACGGCCGACGGAGATAAATAAGGGTTTGCTAAAATTGCTGCCAAATTAATTTGGGTGAATATTTTTTAATTTTCTTGGTGGGAGGTTGAAGTTAATAAATCAAGGCATGTTTTCTCAATGGGCACCAAATTTGTAGGTCAAAGGGCATTGACCCTGGCAAAAGGTCAAAATAGAAAGTTGTTTACCCCTTGCAAATAGGCAACCTGACTAGAAATCCGAGATGCGCCATGTCAGTTTTCAAATTTTCAGAATTTTTGAACAAGCAGTTTTGAAAATATTAATGATTTTTAAATAGCGTTTGAAAGACTGAAAATGATCTCTTCGGACTAGTTAAAAATATCATTTCAGTCAAAAATTGAGCAGGCTTTATTTGCTTTCCATTCATAATTGAAGAATTTGAAAAATATTTCCATCCACTTTAATCGTTTCCTAGAAAACAAAAACCCCACTGTTGTTGGAAAATTAGGACCCAGGCCACCAGGTATAGAAAAGGCCGTGGCGTGTGTGTTTCTAGTGGGCTGGCACCAAAGTGCACCAAATCGGTGGCATTGACCCAATTAAATCGCACGCAACAGCACGCTCGGCGGCGGCGGCGGCACAAATTCAACGCTGTTCGTCTATTTGCGACATCTTTGTCGCTCCAGCTCTCGCGGCGCGGACGCCGACAATTTGCATCGTACATTTTTTTTTAATGAGCGCTTCCATTTCCTCGTGCCGACGACCCTCGCTTTTGCTTTTCTCTCTGCCGCTCGGGGCGAACAAGAATCAATGACCAGCGACGAGCACTTGACCGTGTCTCTTAATTTCCAACCCCCACGTGCGCCGCCGAAGGGTTGTTCCCTGGCGTGGCCCACTTTGCCCCTCCACCGCGGCGAGAGTCGTGACGCGAGGAGCAGATAACGGCACTTGTACGGTGCCTCCTCCTCCTCCTCTAATTAAATCATAAACAACGACGGCTTACGAAACAAACACGTCGAGATAAATTCATTCACACATGCGTGCGACAAAGTCAAATTTGAATATATATCATTTTGCTTTCGCATCCGCGGCGAGACCGATTCCGAGGCGCGAAAGTCTCTTGCATCATTACGCAAGGCCACGCGAATTTGGTGCTTCACATTCGAAAGTTTTCCACCTGCTCAGCACTTTAAATGCTCAACTTTTCATTGTAATTTTATTTTCCTTGTAAGTGTCCAGAAATTAATTAAAGATAAGAATGTGGAAAAATGGCACGTTGGAAATTTCAACTTTTTGAAAATTACATATTTGAGAGGCCAAAGTGACATGTTTATGAAGTTAAAAATTCCCAAAATATTTTCGATTTTTTTTTGAAAATTTATTCAAAAATCGAGTTTTTAATTTTCCAGTTTGAGATAAAAATTTGAAAACCACTTCTCCAACCAAATTTTGCGACGTCCGAACACTTGTCTTGTCAATGGTGAACAAACGTGAAGGAACATGTACAAGGTCACTTTCAGTGAAATTTTGAGCTCAATTTTCAAAATGAAAGCTATTTTTAATATCTTTGAATGTTGGAAAAAATTGGGGAAAATGTAGCCCGTCTAATTGAGAATCGACATGGTGATTTTCAGAGGCGCATTATTTTACTTTTTTTAAGCTTTATTTAAAAAAAAAAAAAAAAAAAACAATTGAGTTGCGCTTGCTGGCGCTGCATTTTACATGTTGTTTTTGAAACACTGCTTCAAATTAATAAAAAAATAAAAATGTGCCTCTGAAATTCACCATGTCAAATTTAAATTGAAGGGCTTCATTTTTTTTCTATTCTTAAAAAAAACTAAAAATGGAGTTCATTTTGAAAATTTAGCTTGAAATCAAGTTTTCATAAAAAGTGGCCTTGAACGTGTTTCTACACGTTTGGTCACCATTGAGAAGTTTTCGGACGTCGCAAAATTGAGCTGCAAAAGTTATTTTCAAAATTTTGTCTCAAACTGGAAATTTAAAAACCCGATTTTTGAGTTTCTTTTTAAATTTTTTTTTTAATTGAAAAAAAAAACGAATTTTTCAGCCTGTTAGGTGTGACCGTGTCGCTTGAGACTACCAAATTTGTTATTTTCAGAAAGTTAAATTTTTCAACGTGCCATTTTTCTTTGTGAAAGTAATCTAAAAAAAGTTAATAAATAAATAAATAAGAACAAATTTTTGTCGGACTGCTTTATTTAAATTTTTATTATTTTTGATTTCCTCACAACAAATGCAGGCCTCACGTCCGTGTTTGTCTCTTTTGCATTTGAGCCTTCTGCGTTGCACACAATTTTCCATCGACCGAGGAAACTGCGTGCCGAGTGAAGGAATCAGCATTTTACTACTTCTGTTATGACTCAATTAAGTTCTCTTCTGCACGCATAACAGATGATGCTATTTTTGTATTCATCGTGTTTCTCTTTCTCTCTCCAGACATCGGTGGTCTATTTTAATCGGTCGACCTCCACCGTGATAATTTTAAATCAGAGGAATTCTTGTTCTTTTATTTAGCGCAGCGACTCAAGTGGTATTTTTTTCTGACCTTATGCAATGTGAGGTAACCTGAGCGGTGTGAAAACCCGGCGGCTCAATTCTCACAGTGCGTTTCTTTGTTTAAACGTGGACGAATTTCTTCCCGAGATCGCGAGTTGGTTTTCATTCGTCGGCAGAGAGAAGGTTTGAAATTTTGAAGAAGAAAAATAATAATAATAAAACGCGCTGAGGCGCCTTTCTTTCAAGTCGGTGAACTTGTCTGTGCGACGATTGTTTACGTTGGTCTCGGTCGCAACGCAAACACGGGCCCTTGTTTCAAAGCCAGATGCAAATGTTTGAGTGCGAAACGCACACTGCGAAATTGTTGCTGAAATTTGCCCAGGATTAATGCAGAATTGCGCAGTTCAGCGGCGCTTTTGACCCTTTCGAATGAACTTAATGGAGGCAAAGTGACTTGACCTCCTACAACCTTCAACTTTTAAAAATTTCAATAGAGATAGTAATGAAATTTGCTCTCATTATTGAGAATTTAAATAATTTTAAATTAATTAAATTTAAATTTTATGAAATTGATCAAATAAAAATCTTGTTTTGATTCGCAGAATTCGTTTGGAAGGCCAGACGCAATCGTGGCCGAGGAGACGTTGGCGAACCACAAGCGGTGCAACAACAGTTTTGTGCACTCGCTGTTCCAAGCGCAGTTCCGCTCGTCACTGACCTGTCCCAAGTGCCAGCGGCAGAGCAACACCTTCGACCCGTTTCTCTGTGTCTCGATCCCGGTGCCGCAGGACCAGAGCAAACCGCTCTTTGTGTCCGTCGTCTACCTGTCGCAGCAGCCGCGCCAAGTGCGGATCGGCCTCTCTCTGCCCATCGACGCCGAGACCAAGGAGCTCAGGGAGCAGCTGGCCTCGGACACCGGCATTTCCGAAGCCTTCATGCTCCTCACGGAAATTGACAATCAGGGTTTCGTCCGGACGCTGTCAGGTATATCGAGTTGATTTTAGTAAATGAATTAATAATTTCAATCAATCAAATTTTTCCAGACGTTCAAGGGACCGCCGAAGCTTCCGAGTCAGACCCGTTGTATTGCATCGAGTTGCCGCAGCTGAAAGATGCGAGTGAGGAGAGTGGCGCCTACGTTATGCTCGTGTGGATCAACGTGCTGCAGGAGGAGGAGAACAAGTTCAAGCGCTTCGGGAGTCCGTACACGATGCAGGTGACGCGAGAGACGTCGTACGAGGACCTGCAGAAACTTATCCTGAAGGAAATGCATCCCGCTCTGCACGACGACATCCTCACCAACGCGCAGGAGGTGCCGCTTTTTAGAATGCGAGTCGCCGAGGCGGGACTCCAGCCGGGCACTTACCTGGACTTCTCTCTGGACCACCCTCTGTACATGGAGGCCGTCGATCAGGCCCTGGCGCTCTGCCCAGAGGACGGAGGCCCTGCCCACCTCAAGCTGGTCCTCGAGTGGGAGGCGAAGGCAAAGGAAAGGTAAGCGTTGGAATATTTTCTCTGAGATCAACGTTTTTTTACCATTTTTTGCCACTAGTGTGATTGCGGACGATAGTGAGCAAGAAGAAGAGCTGGCAAGTGTGCGGGAGTTGAAAAACTTTACGGAAGAGTCAAGGACGGCAACTCTTGAAGAATGCTTTAAGGTGGGATTAGGAAATAAATGTTAAGACATGTTGGATAAAAATTTTAATGCGCTTTTCAGCTTTACACACAAGATGAGGTACTGGGGCCCGAAGATGCCTGGCATTGCCCCTACTGCAACCGAAAGCAAGAAGTTGTTAAAAAACTTGGCCTCTGGTCATTACCCGACATTCTTATAATTCATTTGAAACGATTTCGCCAGGTAATTATTTCTTTATCGACATGAATTTTTGGAGAATTCTGGGAAAACTTCCTGTAATAGCGAGAAAAAATCTGAAGTCGAGAACAAATTTCCATGTTTTTTGTTTGTTTATTTTTATTTTTTTAATTGTAATTCTACTAAAAACATTGCTAATTTGTCCTGGTAGACGCTCTACCAGTTTTTTTTTACTGGACCAAATTTTAAATAGAACAACTTAATTTTGAATTTATTATAAATATCTTTGATTCCGTGACTAATTATTTTGTTGAATCGTTTGTTTTCAGTCACCCAAAAGCCGCTCCCCGTCAAAGCTGAGCACGATGGTGGAGTTCCCTCTCTTCGGTTTCGACATGTCCCCTCACGTGGCCAGTAAGCCAGAGGGTGCTGTGCCCAATGGTGTTGGCTGGTCCCCTTGGAAGCGGCCGAGGCGGCAGTCGAGTGCTCGCGAGGACAACGTCTACGACTTGTATGCCGTCTGCAACCATCACGGGCAAGACGTGCAGGGAGGCCATTACACTGGTATTTTTAATTCACACCAATTTGTTTACCAGTTGTTGATTGAAAAAAATTCTTGCAGCCTACTGCCGAAACCCGTATGATGGCCAGTGGTATGCATTTGACGACGCCAAGGTTGAGGGTTTGGAGGAGGAAAACGTTGTCACCTCATCGGCCTACATCCTCTTCTACCAACACCGTAGTCTGTCTGGTAGTCCTTGCTCGTCCTCCGCTTCCACCTCGTCATCTTCTGATCATTGGGTCTGCCGCATCCCCGCATTTGATGCACCTGCCAAGTCACCAGGTAAATCGTAATATTCCTTTCTAGGTTTTCAAATCTCATCAGTAGCTACATTTAATTTGTAAAACTATTTTTGATGAAGCAAAACAAAAAAGTTGAATTTCAATTGCTTGAAATATTGTTGATTAATTTATAGAAAATTTCTTTTTGTGTGGCATTTGTTTTGTACCTAATTTCATGATTTTTTTTTCAATTTCAGCTGAAACTCCAGTCGAGGAAGCGCCTCAGTTCCAGCGGAACTCGCGAGGCTACGCAACGCTCCCTTCCAGTCAGAGTCCAGCTCCTGTTGCTGCAGCTGAGAAGGACCACCACTCAGAGGACGAGGCGGAGGTGGTGGCTGAGTCGAGCGTTTGAGACTGTGATTCGTGCCTTTCTTCATTCCGCGCACTCTCCTGAGAAAGCACTGGACAGTTTTACATTATTTGATCAATGATGCATACACTTATTATGTTACTACAAACGATGGTGTAACATTGCGTACGAGAAACACACACATTTATATCAACATGCTGCTGCAAGTGCTCTGAGATAGATTTTGTTACTATTGATTAATTTTGTCGACTAGAATCATGCCTAGGGACCAAAACAATTGTTGAAAATTTCCCAAAGCCAACTCGCTGCTGGTTTTTACATTCAAGAATGATAAATTCAATGGCAAAAGAGAGAAATTGATTTGTTACCGAGTCCGAGCACCTTCTGCTGTGATTGCCACTTGTTTGCTTTTCATTATCCCACATGTAACGGTAAAAATAAACTGCTATTTTCAACTCTTATTACATAAACTTGGCTCTTCATTATATTCTATCTACAAGATGCTCTTCATAAACAATGAAACATGCTTAAGTTAGTTTTACTCAATATAGTTTCCACATGATGACTTTGCGGTGCATAAATTGTTTACGATCATTTCAGTAGCGTTTTTAGTCCATTACATAAGTTTACATCTGGCTGTCATTTTACACGAAAACAGTGAAAATGCTGCCTCCAAAGGCTCTGCACACGCGCCTGCTCCGCTAATCATTAATCGACAGATCTTAGAGGGCATCGAGTCAAACGCCGACGTGTTGAGTCAACAGGCGGAGGCGGCAGTTGGAGGCCGAGAAGGCGGCCACGATGTCGGCCAAACAGTCTTGTGACGAGAATAATCATTCATAGCCTCTATAAAAGTGTAAATCAAATTCATGTCAAAACAAAATCAACAAGAACAAATTAGCGTTTCGTGCATGAGTCAGATAAAAGTTAACGAGTTAATAAAGTCTAACTGCCGGTGGTGAGAAACTCTTGCAGCGGGTCAAGGTTGATCAGGAGCAGGCGGTGCACCGAGGTGAACAGCACCCGCTTGTCCGAGGGGTGCACCAGCAGCTCGCTTCATGTCTTTTTATACTGCATAAAATACTTTACTTTGATCAAATTTTCTATCTCTATTAAATTGACTTCTCATAATTTCTTGTTTAAAACTAATCAACTTTTAATACTTTTGGACCTGCAAAAAGACTCCAACCAACGTCTCTCACAGCACTGAACTTCAACAGATCAAAATTTTTTAAATTATTAGATTATGATAATTATAATTTGTAATTATTAAGGGGGAACTTGTTAAATCTTATATCATTAAATAACATTTTTCAATAAAAATTAAATTAGAATATCAATAATTTATAGGCGGCAAAGGTGAATAAATTTGAAACACTGCGAATAACATGAGAAAGGAAATATCTGTTTAATTTATTTATGTAACAAGCTGGAAAAAACATCAATCTTCTTCATCAGACTCGGTGGCTGGATGCGAAGGTGAAATGATAAGGTAAGGTTTCTTAACTGGCTTCTCATTTGAATCTTCTACACCCTTCTGCACTCTCTTCTTCCCTTGCTTAACAGTTTTATCCTCAGCCTTGGCTTCCGCAAGGGCAACTTGGAAATCAGTATTGAGGCCATCGACTCGTGGAGAAATCTCCTGTTCGGCTCCCTGGACCGCTTCCAGAGCGACTTTGCGGCTCTCCACCTCGAGCAATTTCTGCTTCTTTTCGTCTTCAAAAGCCAGTCGGTCGGCTTCCAGAGCGACTTTCCAGCTCTCCACCTCGAGCAATTTCTGCTTCTTTTCGTCTTCAAAAGCCAGTCGGTCGGCTTCCAGAGCGACTTTGAAGCTCTCCACCTCGAGCAATTTCTGCTTCTTTTCGTCTTCAAAAGCCAGTCGGTCGGCTTCCAGAGCGACTTTCCAGCTCTCCACCTCGAGCAAATTCTGCTTCTTTTCGTCTTCAAAAGCAAGCCGCTCGGCTTCAAGAGTGACTTTGAAGCTCTCCACCTCAAGCAGTATCTGCTTCTTTTCGTCTTCAAAGGCAAGCCGCTCGGCTTTCAGAGCTTGGGTGATGCCAGCCATGTGAACTTCCTTGTTCTCTGCGTAATTTATCCCTGCCAGCACAAGCATCTGGGCTTTAGCTGTGAAAAAAATATTTTAATTTCCGCTTAATTATATAAAGGCTGGATATTTACTCCAGTGAGTAGGGATTGGGCATCCATGAATGTGGAGATACACAAACAGCCCTGGTCCTGGTATGCGGTGGAAGTCGGCGCTGTCGCAAAATGACTGGAATTTCTCCGGCATTCCGGAGACAACAGGTGTCTCAGCACTGATCCGAAAGGAAGTCATCATCACTCTTGATGCTACTTGAGCTAAGTAGGATGCCTTCTGGAGCAGGCGCTCATGAGCTGAAAAAGATTTGAACAAAAATTCAAAATTTAATGTAGCTTTGCACAAAGCTTATGAAAAAAAACCCAACAATAAAAATGTAAAAAAAATCACAAATTAAAACAATTTAAAAATATCATTTAACATAAATAATTACAGTTAAATGAGAATTGATGATAATATTTTAGAAGAAATAAACAAAATTGTTTTACTTTTCATAATATTGTTAAGTTGCGTTGTCAAAAAGGAACAAAAAGTTAAAAAAATCGCTAAAAATTTGAAAAATAAGACTATTTATGAAAAATTTACTTAATTGTTGATTTTTATTCATTCAAAATAATTTTTCATAAGGTTTAAAAAAAAAAATCTTAACAATTTTGAAAAAAAAAATCTTTGTGGAGTTACTTCGAAAAAAACACAATATTAATTTGTGAATTTCAATCAAAAAATCTTTCAAGAGGATTTTTAAATAAAAACTTCAAAATATTTGCAATGAAAATTGGAAAAATTCTCACGAATTTGCGAAGAACTTTTTTGAAAATTTAAAAAGAATCGTCATGTAAAGAAAATGCTTTTAAATTTTCCCTTAAGAATCTTTCGAAAATAATACAAAAACAAAATTATGGTACTCACTCTCTTCGAATGAGAGCCTCTCCTTCTCAATTTCATCCTGCAACACGATGAGCGTCAGGATTTTCTTATCCAGCGTACGAAGCATGTCCAGGAAGAGCGGACGTGGGTTGAAGTTTTCGATCATGCTCTCCGGGACAAAGCCTTCAGGTAAATAGAGGCAGATTCCGCCTCCACCGCCCTGCTGAGCTTCTTCTTCAACGTTCTCCATTTTGCCTCCTCAGCTTTGAATTCAACAGCCTCGTCAGAGCCTTGGAGCAGAATGACAGTCTTGCACAAGCAGTTCTGCAGATCAAATCAAAAATCGAAATAAATTAAGTTTAAAAACAACAAGGGCGAACAAAACAAAGGCAGTTGTGGGCGTGGTTCAATAAGGTCGTTTTTTTTTAAATCAACGATTTCTTATTGGCATTGTCAGATCCGGGCGTCGGTCTTTCCACTTCTTGGTCTTTCCCTCCGGTCTTTTGATTTTTGATTTGCCTGCTGGCGCTACGTGACGTCACGGAGGAACAGCCGCCATATTGGTTATTGATATGTATTTTGAGATGCGATTCACATATTTACGTCTTTTCACGTGTTTTGTGGCCGTGCGGGGCATTGTCATCGCTCGATGGACAGTGCTACACGTTCTCACATGGTATCATCAACGAAGCTGCAGGCGGAAAAAATAGCAGAGTTCAGTCGAAGGAAGCTCAGAGCTCAGAAAGACGGCAAATCGCGACGGTGCGGTTGCTAGTCGCTAAGTGAGAGAAGGACGCGGTGAATACGACGTTTGTCGATGAAATGGATTGTTTTCGGCCGAATTACCGAAGATCTGGCAGTATGTGTGTGTGATGAAGGTGTTGAGAACCGAATTTCGCAACAAGTAGATCGAAAAGTGAGTCAATTGGTGGATTTTAACGCTGGTCACCCTTCAAAAACACCTTGTCATTTCGCCCGACTTCGCCTCTTGATTTCCTCACAATCCTCACCACTCTCTCCGGTTATCACTGCGATTTCTAGATGAATAAAATTTTTGAAAGTTTTGATGTTGACCAGCGGCACGAATAACCGGTCTTAAAGCCGGCCAGGGTGGAGGAAAATTTATAATTTGTGGTTTTTGTTTTCGCTCGAAACACATCGACCCCGGCACTCTCTCGCTTGCCGCTCGCCCGCCTTTGCTTCTTCGCCTTGGCTCTGTTTTTTCCACGTTTGTTATTAATTCTTTTTTACGGAAAACAAAAAAAAACATTTAATTCTGTATTTAATTTTATTTCAGCTCATCTGGAGCATGATGTCTGACAGGAGGGCTCCCCCCGAGGGAATGAAAGATGGGCACAGAGCCCCCGGAACATCCCCCTCTGAAAGCCATATGGGTGACCACGTTCTAAGCGCCCTCACTGCCCTCAGGAAGCCATTTTCCAGGCAGGTCCTGGTTTTTCAAGCCACCTGACAAAATGGTCCTCAGGCGGTTGCGAGGAGCAGGCCCAGCTCCATCTTCGCTCGCAGAATCACGCAGTTTGAAAAGCCATCAAGCTCACAATAGAGGTTAGTTATTATATAGTAAATGAGAAAATCAATTACTGTGTTTTTAATACACCTAATCAACAATTCCACTAAATTCAATTAATTTTTCAAATATTAAATTTTAGTTCTTATAATGCAGAACTGATTGTAGATTTTGATAAGCTCTACTAATTATTCCAGCCTATGTTGTTTGAAGGTGAGGGATGGAAGCAGTACCTTGTGCAACATGCCAGCTAGAAGAATGTGCAGACCACCTCAACACCTAGAGTGTCCGTTCTCCAGGCAAGCTAGACATTCCAGTTTTTCGCAGAGGTCTCCGAATTCTATTATTTTCAAAATTTACGTCTAATTCATAAAAGGACTGCCAGGAAAAAATCTCCAAAATCAATTATTTTCAAAATTTACGTCTAATTCATAAAAGGACTGCCAGGAAAAAATCTCCAAAATCAATTATTTTCAAAATTTACGTCTAATTCATAAAAGGACTGCCAGGAAAAAATCTCCAAAATCAATTATTTTCAAAATTTACGTCTAATTCATAAAAGGACTGCCAGGATAAAATCTCCAAAATCAATTATTTTCAAAATTTACGTCTAATTCATAAAAGGACTGCCAGGAAAAAATCTCCAAAATCAATTATTTTCAAAATTTACGTCTAATTCATAAAAGGACTGCCAGGAAAAAATCTCCAAAATCAATTATTTTCAAAATTTACGTCTAATTCACAAAAGGACTGCCAGGAAAAAATCTCCAAAATCAATTATTTTCAAAATTTACGTCTAATTCATAAAAGGACTGCCAGGAAAAAATCTCCAAAATCAATTATTTTCAAAATTTACGTCTAATTCATAAAAGGACTGCCAGGAAAAAATCTCCAAAATCAATTATTTTCAAAATTTACGTCTAATTCATAAAAGGACTGCCAGGAAAAAATCTCCAAAATCAATTATTTTCAAAATTTACGTCTAATTCATAAAAGGGCTGCCAGGAAAAAATCTCCAAAATCAATTATTTTCAAAATTTACGTCTAATTCATAAAAGGACTGCCAGGAAAAAATCTCCAAAATCAATTATTTTCAAAATTTACGTCTAATTCATAAAAGGACTGCTAGGAAAAAATCTCCAAAATACGTCTAATTCATAAAAGGACTGCTAGGAAAAAATCTCCAAAATCCGTTATTTTCAAAATTTACGTCTAATTAATAAAAGGACTGGTGGATATTAGATTTACGACTGAAAAGTGGAATATTTGGATTTTGGATTAAGTTCTTATTCTTATATCTGTAAAATCATTTGTGTGTATTTCCTGTCAGACCGGTAGCGGCCCGCAGCCCTGCCGGGCCTAATTGACTTTGCGAAACACTTGGTTTAGTTGAACTTCATACATTTTTCCTCAGTGAAATGTCAAATATGTTCAGAGCTTAAATAATCTATTTTTGCTGACGAAACAAAGATACGCGGAACGTGCTGATTTAATGTTTAGTCTATTGGCGCAGTTGTCAAAGTGAAGAGTGCCACAGTCCTATTATTCAACATTCCTCCACTTGCTTCTGAAGCGTGCAGCGGATATAAAATTGCACTTCAAGATTTGCTTAATCTGAACAATTAGTATAGTGAACGTACTCTGTTCAAGACCGCGCACCTGCACAACAAACGAATCAATTTTCAGGGTAAGCAATTTACATTGAAATTAATTTTATATCTTATAACCGCGCAGTTAAATAACTTGCAGATCATTCAATGAGGAACAAAAGTCATCTGCTGATTTTGAAATTCATATTTCTCGGCTTGTCTCTCGGTGTGATTGCAATAGTTTATTACATTATAAGCAACGACTCAGGATCAGTAATCAAAATCCAAAATGAGCATGACAAACCTGCCTTGTCTGCACGGGAAGAAGTCCTTGACATTGATGATACAATATTCACGGAGGATCTCAAAAAAATTATGGTATGGGGAAAATCTCAACTTAATTAATTTGTAATTGATTACCGTCGCCATCATTTTTAAGTTGGAAAAATCCCACCCGAATATATTTGTAGCGCACCTGGACGAAGGTGGACCTCAGATAAATGCAACCTGCGCACATTACATCAATGCTCTTGACATAGAATACAATAACATTTACTGGCAAAAGCAGAAAACCATCAACGAGACTTATTATTTCTACGGCGCGTATTACGACAACCGAGTTTTAGTTGACGGCAATGTGATAAGGATCGTCGGCATGGTCGACAAACTCGATCCAGGCGAGCTCTACTGCCAAATTTGGTACACAAATGAGCCGCAACCAATTATATCCAAGGTATTATTTTTTCCCTGTGAATATATTAGAAAATTATACTAATTAAAAATAAAATAGGTCCACCACGCGCAATACATGTGGTATACATACTGGGGCTATCAAAATGCAGCCCTGCAACCATACCTTTGGAGCTGTCGAATACCGGACGAGTTTCAATCCCGAGTGCCAGAGTCAGTTTCTCTTGTTGGGCATCCGTGCCAAAATCCGAGCAACAACCTCCGGGTCGTGTACAATTTGCCCGAATCTGGAGAGAAGGAAAACTTTGCAGTGTGCGTGAAAGGGTTGAATTTTATGCACAGTGCCCACACGTCAGTCCGTCTGATCGAATGGATCGAGCTTTTAAAAATGCTCGGTGCAAGCAAAATTATTTTCTACGAACTTGCGGTTTGAAAATTTTGTCCGCAGTTTTCCATAATTTCTACTATAATTTGATCTCCGTAGACTCATGCAAATATTTCCAAAGTTTTGGATTATTATTCAAGAACGAGGAATGTGGAGGTGATTAAAACTACCCTACCTGGACCTTACGCCAACATCCCAGAGTTTATGGGAACGTTCTTGCAGAAACGCCTCCAAGTTCAAATATTTCAAGAAATGATCCAGTACAACGACTGCTTTTATCAAAATTTTCACAAGTTCAAGTATATCACCTTGTTGGACCTGGACGAGGTTTGTTATTTTTATTAAGATTGTATAAAAAAAAACATATATATTAGCGTAGAGTTTAATCCATTTCATTCAACAAACTTAAAATTTAACTCTTAATTCTCAATTTCATCAAAATAAAAAATATCTATATATTTACCATATTTACAAATATTTGTAAAATAATTACAAATTTTTTTAGGTAATCCTACCTTTGAGTGTTAAAACGTGGCACGAGCTAATTTTCAACGTTTCGCTTCCCAAAGCTGTTGCAGCGAAAAACATTACTTATGCATCTTTCATCGCGCGCAACGTCCACTTCATGGACGACCGGAAAGAGTACAATGACTGGTTCCCGGACATCCCTCAGTACATGCACATGCTGCAGCACGTCCTCCGAAACACCAAACACGTTCCACCTGGCGAAGGAATCAAGGCGTTCCACAACACGGACTTGATTTTGTCCCTGCACAACCACTTCGCCAGGGCATGCATTGCGTCTGACACATTTTGGTGCGACTATTACGATTTTGATCTGAAAGATGCACATTTGCAGCACTACTGTTCCGGTAGAAATAAAGAAGAGTGCATGACGACAAGGGAGGGAAATTTGACGTTAGACACGTCAATGTGGAGGTACAAAAATGAGTTGATTGATGCCGTCAGGGAAACTTTGCACAAGACTGGATTTTTGAAGTAGTTCAAGTGATATAAATTCATCTTTGTTTAAACTGATAAACGACAGTTCTTCAGTGGGTTTAAGTGTCGTTTATGTTTAGCAAAACTGTATTTTTTTTTGCCGAATTATGTCGGGCGTTTCCGACATCATCAAGTTGTGATACACAACTTATCTCCTTTTTATATTTTTGTATTTGATCGAGTTATAAAAATTATAACCCATTGTGGAGTTGCTTATTTCAATTCAATTAACATGTTTCAATAAACAATCGTTGATAGTGAACAAGCCTTTTAAAAAAACAATTAAATTTATTTTATAGGTTGCATTTCCTTCATATACAATACACAATAAAGATTTTAAAGCTTACACTTATCAATAATAAAGACGGGTAAGTTATTAATAAATACAACAAACTATCGATTAAAAACACTTTTAAATCAGATGAATAAATATTAATTTTCAGTGATTTCTTATTAAAAGCAACTAAAAAATGAGCCTATAATTTACAAAATCCGCTTTCAAAAGTATGCAGTATTATTGACTTATTAAAATGTGTTTTTTTTATTCTCCTTAATCTTGAATTTGCCAAAAATAAAAACATTATTTTATAATTTTTTAATATAATAATAATAATCAATTATTTTTTATTCTTAAGTTTTCAATATTGCTGTTCATTTTATCTCCTCTGATATAGGGAGCAAATAAAAATTACACCATGACTAATATTTTCTCTTTTATGGTCCTTATCTCTCACGGCACATGCAGTGCACGTTGGATGAAAAATTTGATAATTTCACCCTAAGGCTAGATATTAAAGTTTCATAATATGCACCCTGAACAGATTGTCTTTCCGGCGGGAGTAATTGTGCAGTTTGCAGGTCGTTCTGCACTTCATCTACATCGTGAGAAAACTCCTTCCAATTCATTTTTTTCAAGGGTGGTGGAAAATTCCTCCGATTCCAATTATTTTCAAAAATGAGGATATACGTTAATAGCAGGTTTTTGGGAAAGCACCTCGTTTTTTTTTTAAATGTATAAAAGTAGTGGTTAAAAAATTCCTCCAATTCTATTTTTTTTAAATGATACGATAAATGAATGAAAAAGATTCCCTATCTATTTAAATTAATAATGAAGGCTGTCTCAAAAATGCCAAGCACAAAAATCGTAGTTATGCAACTAGTCGGGCACGCACGTCGTGCCGGTTGCATAACCATTCACCTGAATGAAAGCGGTGAACAGGCGGTGAAGAGGGCAAAAATTCTCCCATAAGATATTTGGCACTTAAGAACCAGCACACGGCAGGTCGACTTTTGAGGCAATTCATGCATTTTAATTTTCCTGGAATTGAAAGTTAGGTTTCAATTTTCCACAAAATCATATTTAGTGTTCAGTTCAATTTGTAAACAAGTATTTATTTATTTATTTATTCTGCCTAAAACATTTCATGCTTTTTTTAAGTCGAATCTGAAAATTTGCAGCAGAGAAACTTGAGTTAAAAACAGGAAACTAAAATTAAAAAAATTCATAAATTAGCAGTCATATTACACAATAATTCATAATTTATTCATTTCCAATTTGTTTTTACTTTAAAAAGTTCTATCGATATGACTAACGTCAACATGAGTCGTCTGTAATGTAACCCACATTATATTCTTCGCTTCATGATCGTTAACTTTTGAAAGTTTATAGGACTAGCGTCTTCTGCTATGGACTGTGATGTTAACTGTTCTATACCTCCTGATGCGATTCGAGAATTTTGAAAATGCATAAAGCCTCTCGTCTATACTTTACGTTTGTGATGTTTCCTTAGGATTTTTAAATTATAATCGGGTGTTTTGAAATAAAAAATGACTAACGTCAACATATGTCGTCTGTAATGTAACCTACATTAATATTCTTCGCTTCATAATCGTTAACTTTGGTAAGTTTATAGGACTAGCGTCTTTTGCTATGGACTGTGATGTTAACTGTTCTATACCTCCTGATGCGATTCGAGAATTTTGAAAATGCATAAAGCCTCTCGTCTATACTTTACGTTTGTGATGTGTCCTTAGGGATTTTAAAATATAATCGGGTATTATGAAAATCAAAAATGACTAACGTCAACATATGTCGTCTGTAATGTAACCTACATTAATATTCTTCGCTTCATAATCGTTAACTTTGGTAAGTTTATAGGACTAGCTTCTTTTGCTATGGACTGTGATGTTAACTGTTCTATACCTCCTGATGCGATTCGAGAATTTTGTAAATGCATAAAGCCTCTCGTCTATACTTTACGTTTGTGATGTTTCCTTAGGATTTTTAAATTATAATCGGGTGTTTTGAAATTAAAAATGACTAACGTCAACATATGTCGTCTGTAATGTAACCTACATTAATATTCTTCACTTCATGATCGTTAACTTTGGAAAGTTTATAGGACTAGCGTCTTTTGCTATGGACTGTGATGTTAACTATTCTAACCCTCCAGATGCGATTCAAGAATTTTGAAAATGCTTTAAGCCACTCGTCTATACTTAACGTTTGTGATGTGTCCTTAGGGATTTTAAAATATAATCGGCTATTTTGAAAATCAAAATGACTAACGTCAACATATGTCGTCTGTAATGTAACCTACATTAATATTCTTCGCTTCATAATCGTTAACTTTGGAAAGTTTATAGGACTAGCGTCTTCTGCTATGGACTGTGATGTTAACTGTTCTAACCCTCCTGATGCGATTCGAGAATTTTGAAAATGCATAAAGCCTCTCGTCTATACTTTACGTTTGTGATGTTTCCTTAGGATTTTTAAATTATAATCGGGTGTTTTGAAATTAAAAATGACTAACGTCAACATATGTCGTCTGTAATGTAACCTACATTAATATTCTTCACTTCATGATCGTTAACTTTGGAAAGTTTATAGGACTAGCGTCTTTTGCTATGGACTGTGATGTTAACTATTCTAACCCTCCAGATGCGATTCAAGAATTTTGAAAATGCTTTAAGCCACTCGTCTATACTTAACGTTTGTGATGTGTCCTTAGGGATTTTAAAATATAATCGGCTATTTTGAAAATCAAAATGACTAACGTCAACATATGTCGTCTGTAATGTAACCTACATTAATATTCTTCGCTTCATAATCGTTAACTTTGGAAAGTTTATAGGACTAGCGTCTTCTGCTATGGACTGTGATGTTAACTGTTCTAACCCTCCTGATGCGATTCGAGAATTTTGAAAATGCATAAAGCCTCTCGTCTATACTTTACGTTTGTGATGTTTCCTTAGGATTTTTAAATTATAATCGGGTGTTTTGAAATAAAAAATGACTAACGTCAACATATGTCGTCTGTAATGTAACCTACATTAATATTCTTCACTTCATAATCGTTAACTTTGGAAAGTTTATGGGACTAGCGTCTTCTGCTATGGACTGTGATGTTAACTGTTCTAACCCTCCTAATGCGATTCAAGAATTTTGAAAATGCATTAAGCCTCTCGTCTATACTTAACGTTTGTGATGTGTCCTTAGGGATTTTAAAATATAATCGGGTATTTTGAAAATAAAAATGACTAACGTCAACATATGTCGTCTGTAATGTAACCTACATTATTATTCTTCGCTTCATAATCGTTAACTTTGGAAAGTTTATAGGACTAGCGTCTTCTGCTATGGACTGTAATGTTAACTGTTCTAACCCTCCTGATGCGATTCGAGAATTTTGAAAATGCATAAAGCCTCTCGTCTATACTTTACGTTTGTGATGTGTCCTTAGGGATTTTAAAATATAATCGGGTATTTTGAAAATAAAAAATGACCATCGTCAACATTAGTCGTCTGTAATGTAACCTACATTATAATCTTCGCTTAATAATCGTTAACTTTGGAAAGTTCATAGGACTAGCGTCTTTTTCAATGGACTGTGATGTTAACTGTTCTAACCCTCCTGATGCGATTCTAGAATTTTGAAAATACATTAAGCCTCTCGTCTATACTTTACGTTTGTGATGTGTCCTAAGGGATTTTAAAATATAATCGGGTATTTTGAAAATCAAAATGACTAACGTCAACATATGTCGTCTGTAATGTAACCTACATTAATATTCTTCGCTTCATAATCGTTAACTTTGGAAAGTTTATAGGAGTAGCGTCTTCTGCTATGGACTGTGATGTTAACTGTTCTATACCTCCTGATGCGATTCGAGAATTTTGAAAATGCATTGAGCCTCTCGTCTATACTTTACGATTGTGATGTGTCCTTAGGGATTTTAAAAATCAAATATGACTAACGTCAACATATGTAGTCTGTAATGTAACCTACATTAATATTCTTCGCTTCATATTCGTTAACTTTGGAAAGTTTATAGGAGTAGCGTCTTCTGCTATGGACTGTGATGTTAACTGTTCTATACCTCCTGATGCGATTCGAGAATTTTGAAAATGCATTGAGCCTCTCGTCTATACTTTACGATTGTGATGTGTCCTTAGGGATTTTAAAAATCAAATATGACTAACGTCAACATATGTAGTCTGTAATGTAACCTACATTAATATTCTTCGCTTCATATTCGTTAACTTTGGAAAGTTTATAGGACTAGCGTCTTCTGCTATGGACTGTGATGTTAACTGTTCTATACCTCCTGATGCGATTCGAGAATTTTGAAAATGCATTGAGCCTCTCGTCTATACTTTACGATTGTGATGTGTCCTTAGGGATTTTAAAAATCAAATATGACTAACGTCAACATATGTAGTCTGTAATGTAACCTACATTAATATTCTTCGCTTCATATTCGTTAACTTTGGAAAGTTTATAGGACTAGCGTCTTCTGCTATGGACTGTGATGTTAACTGTTCTATACCTCCTGATGCGATTCGAGAATTTTGAAAATGCATTGAGCCTCTCGTCTATACTTTACGATTGTGATGTGTCCTTAGGGATTTTAAAAATCAAATATGACTAACGTCAACATATGTAGTCTGTAATGTAACCTACATTAATATTCTTCGCTTCATATTCGTTAACTTTGGAAAGTTTATAGGACTAGCGTCTTCTGCTATGGACTGTGATGTTAACTGTTCTATACCTCCTGATGCGATTCGAGAATTTTGAAAATGCATAAAGCCTCTCGTCTATACTTTACGTTTGTGATGTGTCCTTAGGGATTTTAAAATATAATCGGCTATTTTGAAAATCAAAATGACTAACGTCAACATATGTCGTCTGTAATGTAACCTACATTAATATTCTTCGCTTCATAATCGTTAACTTTGGAAAGTTTATAGGACTAGCGTCTTCTGCTATGGACTGTGATGTT